AAAAAATTAATTTTTTAGACAATTAAGGATTTATATATATGTAACCTAGCTAGCTGTAGTAATCTAGAAAGTTTTAATTCTACAAAAACTATTAAAACAAGAAACTTAAAACTGAGTACTTAAAATTTTAAGAAATTTATCCCTGCATTGGCCGAGACTAACATAATTTTAGCAATTTTTCAAAAGTGGGGATACATTTTTTGACTGTTGATTTTCTTTAGCAGTTCTTAACTGTTGGTTGGCAAACAAAGTGAGAAAATTATTTTGACAAAAGCCATGTAAAATGTAACATAGTTCTAACATAGAGAGCTTGTGAGAAGAGAGAAGATGATAATTTTTTTAACCTGTATAGAATGGCAAGAATCAATTTTTAAACAGTGATTTGTATGTGTTGGTTTCTATATATATTTATGAGTAGTTTATACCTGACTTTTATATGATGAAAGGGAAATTGATTATGATTTTTCCACATCAGTTGTGAATTGTATAGATGGATGCTTGTTGTTCAGATGATTACAGAACACTTTCGTAGGATTTGAACTATGGTTCCAAATTGTAGTGATGTTGATATATCATAACTGTAAAGAAGGTATCAGAAGAGATGTAACAGTAGCTCATTCTTCAAATCTTTTGATGATCTAAGTTAACAAACTATATTAGTTTAGAATGTAGAGTATTTAATCAGATGGTACTGTTATAGGGGCTGCTCTGGGCTTTCTCAAAATCACATTTTGTGATTCTTTTACTTTTGATTGTGACAAAGTTTAGTGTTTGTTGATTATTTTTTGTGGGAATATTTATGCCAGTAAAATTTAAACATTGATATTTTATTCACATTATAGCTACAACAAAGAGTTGTCTTAGATAGGTATAAGCTCTGAAGAATTTTTGTTTCAAAATGTATATATTAATCTTGTTTTCAATCTATAATGTGGTTACTTGCATAATTGGAAAATTATTTTGATTGTTCTGCAAAACAGTATTTTAAGAGTTAAAAACTGGAAATGTTTTCTATTTCTCTTTGTATCCTCCAGACAAAGCACAATTCCAGCTTCAACAAAACCTCAGAAAGTTCCAAATTTCCAGAAATGTGCTGCAGTTGCACCTAGAGGCCTTTCAAAACATACAAGAAATCAGAACAACCCAGTAACAGTTAGAAAATCAAATTCTTTGAAATCATCTAAAATGCTTGTAGCTCCAGCAAAAAATAAAGTCTTAGAGAAAGCAAAACAAAAAACATCTCTGCTAGAAAAGCAGAGCCAAGGGCTTTCTCAAAAGAAGAAATCGGTATCTCAAATTAGGAATTTGGCAATTACCCAGGAACCAATATCCACAACTCAAGACTTCAGGAAAGACAAAGAAATATCAACTGTAACATCTAACCTTGATATTACGGATAAGAATTGTAATGAAAACATCCAGTCCATAGAGGATGTTCAACTGGATACGCCTAAACGTCGATCATTAACTTTCATCAAAGACAGACCTACACCTGGCATCAGAAGGGTCACACTCTCTGGTTCTGAAGGAAATGAAAATAATTCTGAAACTAGCTCAAAGAAATCAAATAAATTTTGTAATAATAGTAATATAACAAAATTTGAACATCAAAACAATAGAAAGGGTAATCACCTTATTCGTCACAGTATCAGCTACTTGTACCGGAAAGGACAACTTGGTCAGGTAATTAAGGATAAACGTAAAACAATTTCTTCACTCCCAATTAAAGAAGAGCTGAGAATAATGAATAAAAGAACAGAAAATGAATGTAATTTAGCAGAAGGAAATAAGAAGCAGAAAGCAACAACTCCAAAAAGTAGAAGATCTAGACAAAAAAGTGTATCTTTTTATTTACAAGATGATAAACCAGACATGTCTTCCCATAAACTTCCAAAAACTTCAGTGAGGGATTTAACATTAAGGTAAAAAAAATTACAAGCATTTAGATTTGTGTACATTAGATATGTTCTGTTTGTTAATATTTTATTTTGTGAATTATATACCATAGAGACTAACTAAAGAAACTTGGAGTTTGGAAGTTGATAACATCAGTACAAAGATTTTCCTGTTTCCTGTATAAATTTATGCTGCAGATACTTTTTTAATATAAGAATAATTAAGTTGTTATCAGGATTATATTATTCACAGTTGCAATAACTGTGAACATATAATTATGTAAAAAATCATCAACGAACTTTGTGCATTTGACATGAAGAAGGGAACAACTGTTATTTTGTACATGATTAGTTAGTAAAAACTAAATGAATAAACCTTATTATTGAATTTGCCATATAAATTTCATATATTATTTGAATAGATGTTTTAAATCTAATATCCAGTTAAATTTATGCTAAATAGTTGTTCACTTTTAATGTTTAAAGGTATTTGTGGATCAAACCTAGGAATTTTGTGATCAACTCATTTTTCAGAAAATGTGGCTTAATGATAAAACAAAACACAAACATAATAATAGGAACCATTTATTAGATGTTTTGGAATCATCTAATAATTCCATCATCAATAATCTAGAGTTACAAACAAACAATATTTGTAATTACAACGGAAATATATAAATAAGAAATAAACAAATCAAATTTGAAAATATAACACAAAAAAATTAAAACTGAGGCACAAGTGACATAGTTAAAATAGGTTTGAGTCCAGTGAAGACTGTGTGTTATTTAGGGATGGGAGAAGAGTTTTTATGTATAATATTTCTTTAATAAGAAGTTCAGTATCACTTTTGGCTAATGAAAGAGTTTGAGAGAGAAATTGAATGTCCTGTTTCTGTATTGTGTTGATAGATAGCAGAGTTGGGAGGGTTTGTAACTTTTCTTCCAGTTTTTATAGATATGCCCATGTGTTCACATGCTTGTGCTTTAAGGTGACGTTTCACCAATATAAGAAGCCTTACAGTCTCCGCACGTGTACGAGTAGATGAGATGTGAATAATGGGCAGTTGGCAAACAGTCTTTGTAGCAGAAAATTTTTTTAATCTAAAGTTGGGTTTCATAATGACTTTCAGGTCAATTTGGGGATAGTAAGTGTTACATAACTTTTTCAACTGTTTCATGATAAGGGAGTTCTGTCTACAGTGGGTATCTTAGGTGGTTTGACAAACAAATTAGTTAGGAATGCAGAAGTTATTTTCTCCAAGAAATGCATAAAGTAGCTGTTTTGAAAGAGAATGTTTTGTATGGAAGTAGTTTTTTTGTGAAGGGTTGAATAGGATGAGGTAAGTTTGTAGGCTCTATTTAGTAGATAGAGAATAAGACTGCGTTTGAAAGAGAAGGGTGTAAACTGTCAAACTGAGTGAAATGGCCAGTAAATGTGTTTTTATGATAGACAGAAGTTGAAAAGTTTATTTCTTATATATATCTTTCCGTTGTAATTACAAATATTGTTTGTTTGTTTTGTAACCCTAGATTACTGATGATGGAATTATGACAATTCCCAAAAGTCTAATAAATGCTTCCTGTTATCACATTCAAATTTTGTGATGTTTTAAACTTATCATGCCCATAAGTTTAACAATATTTGTTTTATTATTTTTGGAGAACATATTATATGTTCTGACAGAACATTGGTCTGTCTTCTTCAGATATTAAGATGTGATATGTATATATGCCATGTGATAATTATTAAGCAAATTTAGTAGATTTCAATGAATTCTCTTTTTATAAATCATACAGTAAGGACAAAATGTTTTTAGGACTTGAAAGGAAATGTAACCTTAAAACCTTTCTAGTGTGTTCTTTCAAATTTTCCCTTTTTTTAGTTCTTACACTTTTAAGGATGTTGAAATTCTGTATTCTATGGGTTTGTTTTAGTTATGTATATCATTATTGAGATATATGAGTGCTTATTTCTTGTAATAGCTTAAACTATCAAGTTTATCCTTTTTTAGAACCCCCCAGATATGATGGTTGAGCTGAAATGCCACCTCAGTGGGTTTCCCATTGATAAGTTTAGAGGTGGCCTCCCATTCAATTGTTCAGAAACATAGGTTGTGTCATATTTCTAAGTACTTGTGAAATTCTGATTCTTTGTTCTACTAAAAATTACATACTTACTGTGTTGACTATCTCTTTTCAGCTGAGTTTTTTGGTTCTGGCATTATATCCATGTGAAATTGCCTTCACATTTATTTTATTAAACTTTTAGAATGTTATCTATATATTTTGTTAACATTTTCATGTAATATTTTCCATTCTTATTAATTTTTACCAAAATTGTGTTATTAAATAATCTATTTGACACGTAAGGAATAAATGATCTGTGGTTTTCATAGGATTAAAGAGGGGCATGCAGTGTAGTTGCACAGTTTAATAGGGATAATAGAATTTGTCCATAGGTAATTCATGCTTCATACTGCAGTAAGGTATGAAATTTGTAGACAGTTGGACATTTGCCAGAACAATATTTAACCACAATTTTAAAGAAAAAAAATACATATGATGGTGGTGGTAGAGGTAGCAAACTGGTCTGGACAGGGATCAGTATTGGTTTCAGGTTTGGACCATGTTGGGGTACTAGGATGAAATTCATCCGATTCTCCTTCATATCACTTAATTTTGTAACCCAATATTTGTTGTCTTTGTTGAGTTAGCTTATTATTTGGACACATAATCACAAACAAGACCATAGGTTTTACCACTAGCACATGGACCCCCAAAGTCTTTCTCTAATTGGTGACTAAACTGACCTTTAGATGTTAGAGTATGGTACTGTTGAAGGTGATCATATACCCTATTAACAAGTGTTTTCTAATTGTTTACTAAACTATAAGTCTGTAGTACCAAATCAGTATTTGTGGATTTGGACATCAATAACAGATATTTGCATATCAGGCCACCTGACACTTGTTTTGTGGAGTGATCCCTTGATCCACAGGTCTTTCAGTAGGTGTGATCTTGTGGAACACCTCATATCAATGCTTTCACCCACTAGAACACCAAACTTCCTTCCATTAGGTTTCCCACTTCACACCCACTAGTTTTGGGAGTGGACACATTCAGTGAAGATCGGAGGGGTCATCACATCTATGCTTACCCTTCTATTCAGCTTCTCTCCAGAGTTCTATCCCAAACCGCTCCTTGTCTAGTCCTACTTGTGGCTCTGTATTGGCCGGTGCAACCATGGTTCCCTCTGCTCTGGACCTTTACTTGTACAACCTCCCCTACTTTACCCCTGTCGTGGTCTTTACTCCATCAACGTCAGTCGGGTGTTATTCATCCAAACATCACCACACTTTGTCTTCACACGTGGCTTTTGTTAGGTCCATTATCTCAAGTGAGGGGCTGACTCCACGTGTTGCATCTTTCCTTTCCTGATCTATTTACCAAATGTGATAGTCTTTTTTCTGCCTTTGGGCTTTTCGATGTGGCTTTCATTCTTCCTGTTTTTCTGTTCCTCATCTTTCCCAGTTCTTCACCTGGTTGTTTGACAAAGGCTTGCCTGCTTTGACCATGTCTAGTTATCAGGCAACCTTGTTAAGCATCTTCTGTTTCTCTAAGCTTTGTAAGGTTTTGTCTTCCCCTGTCATCTCCCTCCTTTTTAGCTCCTTTCAAGTCATACGTTCTCTGCATTTCTTTGATTTGCCTGATTGGGATCTCAATGTGGCCCTTTATGCCCTTTGAACCTTTCTCTGCATGTTCCATGTACCATTTCTCCCTCCATACCTATTTCCTCTCCTCCTTGCTTGTGAATGTCATCTATCAGATATTTATGCTGTTTGTTTCCGACATCCTCTACCATTCCTCTTGTGTCATCCTAAGACCTATTTCGTCTGTGAAGGTCGGTTTGGCTTTTACACCCATTTCCTTACCTTCCATCTCCTACCTGTACTTCCAATCTGATCCTGATTGGTGTCTTTGTCTGGTATGCTCCTTACAGTGTTATGTGGCATGTACTGCCTCCTTTTGGTCTTCACATTCCTGACTTCTTATTCTCTGAAACCCTTCTGTTTCCCATGATCTATTCCATTATGCTAACTGGTTGGGGGTTATCAACTAATCAGGTTGGCATATTCAGATTTATCCATGGAAGGTCACTGTCTCCACAGTGTTTCTTCAAATTCGTCATATCACCATGTCTTTGGCTGCTCACTTTTGCTGTCCTTTGAAGGAGATTGCTCAGGCTGGATTGTGGACTACTCCCAATACCTTTGTCGCTCATTAACTGCACAATCTGTCTGTATCTTCCTCAGATGGACATCGTCTCCCTCCTGTGGTGATCCTACACACATCCATTCGCTTTTGACTGGGGTAAGTGTTATCACTACCTTTCCGGTCAGGTATACTTTGTCTCAAACCCTCACTATTTACTGATTATACTAAATCTCACTGTGGAGATGGAGTGTTCCACAAGATCACTGGTGGCATACCCAGTGGTGTATGTGTGTATATACAGGCTCTCCAGCGTTCCTAGTTTTTCCTAGTTTTTTGAATTGGTTCCTAGTTTTTCCGAGTTTTTACAAAAAGCTCCTAGTATTCCTAGTTTTTTTTTAAATTGAAGAAGTATTTTTCTCATGATCACATGTTGCAATG